AATTAAAATATTTAGGTTACAAAATATCTCAGAAAGGAATCGAGACAGACGAATCAAAAATAATCGCTGTGCAAAAGTATCCGACTGGATACTTTTGGCTAAGACACGGCAAAGAAGTTCTCTTCTTTTCTAGGACTTTGTTCATATTATAGGTCCTTTATAAAAGATTTTGCAGCTATTGCTGAGCCATTGTTAAAATTAAAAAGGAAAAAGGCAAGATTCTCGTGGACGGCCGAAGCCAATAGTGCTTTCGAAAAATTAAAACAAGCATTAACGCAAGCCCTTGTGTTGAAATTTCCTGAAAAGGATGAGAATTTAGAAATTTCAGCGGATGCTTCGGATTATGCGGTAGGAGCGGTACTTTCGCAAAATCAACAGCCCGTGACATTTTTTAGCCGAACTTTAAATCAAACAGAAAGAAACTATTCCGCGACCGAGAGAGAGGCACTTGCAGTTCTGTTAGCAGTGCAAAAAGTTCCGAGTCTATTTTGGAAAGGTGCCAATAACAGTGTACTCTGATCATGCGGCGGTAACTAGATTGTACTCAGGGAAAAACTTATCCCCAAGGTTAATAAGATGGGCACTCAAGCTACAAGAATATAATCTAGTAATCAAGCATACCCCCGGAAAGAAAATATCGTAGCAGATGCCCTATCCAGAATTAAAATAGATGAAGAAGGTAATACCGTAAAGGTGGCAATGCTCACAGCATGCACAATAAATTCCCGAGAAACTGTAATAACCGAACTGGGTAAGGATCCTGAGTTTGGAAGCATTTATGAGTATTTAAAGGATCCTGAAAATTTTAGCCACCAAGATATTGTGGCGATAAGAAATAGGGCGGCCCATTACGAACTAATAGATGGTCTATTATTTTATACAAAAACTACGAATTCCAACAACGAATTTCGACCTGTTATCCCAGCTATTAAATTAAATTCTATTAGATTAAATTATCCTGCAGGAGCTCCATGACATTCGCTCTTTAGCTTCTCATGCTGGTATTCGAAAAAACTATCCAACGCGTACGCGAGGCAGTCTCTTTTCCTGAACTGCAAAAAGTTAACAAGGGCGTATGTCCAGTCCTGCCCAACATGTCAAGCAGTTAATTATATTAATTTCCGCCCGGCCGGGTTTCTAAATAGTATTAAATCCGAATTTCCAAATGAAATAATTGGCATCGATTTATTGGGCCCTTTCCCAAAAAGTCAGTTAAATAAAAGTCGCTATCTCCTTGTTATGGTTGATCATTTTAGTAAGTGGACCGAAATTGTTCCCTTAAAACGAGCCTCCGAGAAATTAGTTACTGATTCTATTTTAAATAAATATATTTTAAAATGCGGGGCGCCCCTAAAAGTTATATCGGATAATGGTCCTCAATTTGTAAGTAATGTATTTGAAGACATGTGCCAAAAACTGGGCATACGTCATTTAAAAATGGTCCCGTATCGGCCGCAATCAAATATAGCGGAACGGGTCAATAGAAATATAGTGAAAATTACCCGTAGTTATGTTAAAAATTTTCATAAAAGCTGGGATAACTATGTCAATGAATTTGCTTTCTCCCTTATGACCGCAAAACATTATACAACGGGCAAAACTCCTGCTGAGTTATTTTTAGGCAGAAAGATTATAACGCCGTTAGATAAATTATTTTATGTGCAACAAAGATCCCCAGAATTTAAAATGGGTGATATAGAAAAACTAATTAAAGAACCAAAAGAGAATACGGAAGTAGCACAGAGAAAACAAAAGCTGTATTACGACTTGAAACGACGGGGAGTAACTTATAAAGTAGGGGACGAAGTATTAAAAATTAAGCATTCACTTTCTTCAGCACCAGAAGATAAAACTGCCAAATTTTTTCCACGATTTGAAGGACCATATGTCATAGAAAAAATAACTCACGCTGTAGTAGTGTTAAAAGCCAGGAATGGGGAAACCTGCTCCGCAAACATTGATCAAATCAAACCCTACTATGATCGTAATAAAATGCAAATTTTCAAAGATCTTTTGCAGGATCCGGCACGGCAGACACCACAGGCACAAGCTCCAGAGTTGGAACAACGACAAGTACAAGAGCAAGCCATTAAGAGGCAGGAGCAAGTGAAAAGAAAGTTTCCCCGCGGGAAAATTGAAGGTACAAAGAAAAAGAAGCCGTTCCACCGTCCAGAAAAAGAGAGCTCACGAACACCCCCAGAATGAAGAAGGGAGAAGGACGACGTATGCAAAGAGAGCCAGAAGAAATGACGGCAACTATAACCCGGCTCTAAAACGGAAGATCTACTCATCCGACAGGACTCTCCGCAGCAAATGTCGCCGAACTGCGGAAGGGCCACCAGCAGCGGAGGAAAAGTTACAAGGAAAATTTCAACGGCCAGCAACGAGGTCCAAGCAGGAACACGAAAGAAGTTTCCCGGTTCCGCCAAGACCAGCTGCCATCAAACGGCCAAGACCACAGGCAGAGGCGAAAAAGAAGGTATTCAAGGGTGACCGAACTGGAAAAAAAGAAAGCTTCTAGAGGTAGGCGAACTGAAGGGCGAGCCCGCACAACGAAGGAGGATAAATCAAACAACGAATCTACGCTACCTTCCAGGACTGAGCTCAGTGAAAAGAATGTCTGAATATCACAAAGATAAGTAAAAATTTTATGTTACTTTGCAAACTTAAGTTAATCTTTCATTCTTACTGCAAGTGGCAGATTTCAAGAAGTTTTACCTCATGCGAGGTCTACCTTTATCGCCAAAAGGGCGAGAAATGAGTTGTTACCGATTTTGGTATTATGTTTTTCAATTACTCGCGTGTAAAACTAAAGTTGTATAATAGCGATGTGTAAAGACTTAAATATTGTAAAAGTTTGTATAAATTTTATTTAAAACTTTCTGGCAAGAAAGAAGTTTTAGTCTGAAACACTTTTTGAAATGTAGTATTTCAATGTAGAAAGAATTGGCACTTGCTTTGAAAAGAATAGAAGTTAACAATGTACTACTAATGTATGTTGTCAAATGCGTAAAATTAACGGCATGTTAATATGTTCTTATATACAATGTGAACTGTTATTTCAAATGTTAAGAAATACCGTGATATGGTAAAAGTGAAAGTAATGTTAAAAATTTGTTATTCGTGTGACTATAAAAAGACCAAATCATGGTGAATATGTGTTAAAGGTTGAATGAATGTAGTTAGGCTCTCTGACGCTACACTTCAGAGTTAGCCACTTTCAGAATAGTACCTCAGGGTTTAGAGTTGATGTTAGGGTGTGTTACGAGGCCTTGGTATGTTGAATTTTTAACACGTTAGTGCTTTGATTGTAGGAGGAAGCGTTGAACACGTAGACATAAACACATTCGTGTTTGGTGTTCTTTTACAACACATGTCAGAGAGCACGGGGAGAGATAACTAAAATAGTCATGAATGAAATAAGAATGTTAAGAGAAATATAATTATACATGTTACTTGCCATTTCATTGTGTAACATTTCATTAAACTAGTTTTCCTTCCAGATATTTGAATAAAAGCTCCTGTTTAGATGCAGTACAGATGAAAAAATTGCGTGTCCTGGGAGCTGCTATTGTAAAAACAAATTTCTTTCTTTTAAATTTCTAGTTTCTAGCGAAAAATGTTTGTAAAAGATTGGCCTCGCGTTAGATTCTAGAGCTAAAAGTTTTCAACAAGGTCGTTTTAGACCTCAGTTTCAAACTAATTAACTCTGGCGGGAAGTATGTAAGGATCTTAAGTTTTACTAACGTTTATTTTATTTTAAATCTTTACTATCACTTCTTATTTTCTACTTCCGGCCAGAATTATAAGCGTGAAGGATTTTATGCAAAGTTGTCTGGCGAACGCCAAGTATTTAAGTGTGGCCTTTTTGCCAAGCAGGAGAGAGGAAGCAGTTAGTCGAAGCAGGCCGCTTACCTTAGAAGTTTTACTCAGTTGCTGGTTGCCTTCCAGGCCAGAGGTTTAATCCTCTTGATAACTTTAAACGTATTGTAGTGTTCACAGTTCTCTGTAATACATACGGCTTCCTGTTAATATAAGGCCAATCTTCCACGTTTATTATTTCAAAGTCAAATTAGAGTTTAGTTTTATTTTTATATTTTTACGTTTAGACCACAGTTAGTGGGTCTTTGTATTCCGAAGTACGGAAGTTATTGTAAATAGAGAAAAATAAAGGGTTTTGTATACCCTTCTTGTGTATCCTGTCTACTTCCCACAGTTATTGAACATAGCTTTAGTAAGCTCTCTGTTCCGAGTCAGGTCCTTGCATGTTCCCGAAGAAAGTAAGACGGAACATTGAATCTGATAACGGATTCTTTTTATAATAAGAGAGAATAATAATATTTGAAACCTAAATCTTTTAGCCTAATGTTAAATGCATAAAACTTTCGAAAAAATATTCAGTGAAAATATAACTGATAAGAAAAATGACTAGATTCAAATTAACCTTGAGATAAAACAAGAAATACTTGCATCGAGAAAACTTCTTTAGTAAAACTTTTATCTTAACATGAAATTCGCTTTTATGTCCGCCAATAATTGATGCTTGATAACTATTGGAAAGAAATATTATTTATAGATTCGTAGATCCGACCCTACCAGTTAAATGTTAAACACGTTCAATATCAATAGACACGCCATCGAATCAATCTATTAATTCAAGCCCTCGTAAATCTTAAGTTTAATTAAAATGTTTAATTTTATAACGATCTTGATAACAAGCACTAAACTCTTCGTTTATGCTTTATAGGCCTTCAATAAATTATCATGGCGTTAAACTTTCATAACACATCACTCATCCTTCCAGCATGATGATACCAGTAGATGAGAACCAAATAAGTAAGTCCCATATACTTTTTAACACTTCTGGTGTTAAATTCATTCAATTAATCACAGCTATTTTAGATAACGTTATGCAAGTGATGTAAGTCAGCTAAAAGTCGCTTAGTGGTGAATTTATTAACAAAACTAATAAACGTTGAATTTTTTACAGGTAGACTTACCCTATTGAAATACGATATATCCACCGTGTGCCATTGTCCATCACTCACTCCTCCAGGAACAAATGTTGAGACTCTGGACACTTGATCACCAAGAGAGAAAGAGAAAAGAAGTTGCGCGTGTCGGATTTCCAATGAAATGAAATCATGTTCGTGATTGTAGCGCCCGTTGTAAAGCAGTAGAGCATGCCTCTCTCGTGTTGCGAATCTGTAATACAATGCAACAAAAATTAAGATTTATGTCTTCTGCTGTTATGTTATTCACGAATGTCAAAGAATAGAGATATAAAAAATTTCCAAAAACAGGCACAAATTAAATCTTCATAGTACTACGAGTGTTTTTTTTTTCAAAGCATTCGGGCATTTCTGTGACAAAACGTATAAGGCTATGTCTCAGTTATGCTCTTAATCCAAATTTTACAATAGAAACGCATGACAAGTTCCACTCTCTTTTGTTTTTAGTAAATGTATTTGCTTTTTCTTCGGAAGTATATTTTATTAAAAATCCATACATTTCAGTTTATTTCTTTTCCTATAAAACCATTAGTGAAAATTTTAATATAATCTACTTCAAAGGAAACACTCTGACAACTTGAGCTCTAATAGACCTTGAACACATAACTTTCCTTCCGCAATCATATGCTCTCAACATCTAAGTTATCTGGAACTATCAATTATCTCCTGAATATTTTTGCTTAACTCTATTTTCCATATAATTATCATGAGAAAATGTTGAAAGGTTGAGGCTCAAATGATTTGACCTCGATTTGCTTATTTGGCAGCGGCCTGACCTGGACTTTTGTTCCGAGTGGGACATGCTTGGCCAACTTCAAAGACGGTGAAAAATTTCATAGCACCCCTAAATTATGGTTTCACTGTGTAATATATAACTAAGTTTTATTTCCTTATCTTTGAAACGAGCAATGGCAACCATAAAGAAAGAAGTTTATATATCCGTATGCAGATAAGCCTGTCGTAATGATAAGTCAAAGCACCTTTACTATAATGAACAAGCAGTTAACTTACGTTTTCTGTGTTTCTAATAAGGATGTCGCCAGTGCTGACATACTAATGCATATAACGCATATTTAATTTATAAATAGAAAAATAGAACATTTGAACATATTTAATTAATTAAACATATTGCATTTTATCTCAATTGGTGATTTTAATTAACGGCACAGATGCGTTTCACATAATCCAGAAGTATCTTTCGAGCTTGCTAAGAAATTTAATGTACATCTTAAAATATTCCTTAGTTTCCGAATAGACTGATACTAAAAGACATTAGAATTTTTTAATAGTTTTAAGAATCTCAAACATTCTTGTCTTACTTCATAGATGCAGAAAGCCTATGTCGTTGTTTTAGAGATGGGAAGGTTAAATATGACCCTTTTTCGAAGCTACGAGCTCTAAGTTCGCATAATTTTGTAGTCCATGTTTCAGCAGAGCAATTCCTGCACGAGATACCAACATCACTGGAAACACATTGGGAGTCGGCCCGGCAAAGACGATAACTACAGCTGTTATTGGAAAGGGAGATTTCACACTTTTCACCTGAAAATTGAAAATGTACTGTATATAAAAATTCATTTTTTAGTGATGTGACTACACATATCTAAAACTAACATTAGGCATATTGGTATATTTTCTGTTTTCTTACCTGTATTAACTTACATGGGAATAATTAAAAGCATTAATTGAATCACCGACTAGAAGTATTAACAAAAAGTTGCGAATTACTAATAAAAAATATGCAATTAAAAGCCTTCGCTTTAATTCTCTGGCAATAAATAAATAAAAATAAAATTTTAAATTAAAAAATTAAGGGGAACTAAGCCATCTCATGAATATTACTGATAGTAAATTTAAAATACTAGTCCTGCGAAGGTGGTTTTCATAAAAATATGTTTTGATGATCCAAATTAACAATTTTCCTTTTGATATGCTTCTGCTCTACACTTGCTATGATTTACAAGATTGTTTCCCTTCCATTGGCAATCAATTAATACATATTTGTATTGCAGCATGATATATTTGCCTTTAAGACTAGCGTTTCTTGTGTAATTAAGTCTACAAACTATTTCAAAAAGATCATACTAATAAATAATTTTTGAACAACTGCTGGCAAACTTATAATCCCAGTTTAAGAAATGAGTCAAGCAAAATAGGCTTTCAGACAGACGACGATTCGGTCACGTGATACATTTACATAAAAATATATGGGAGTGAAGAACGTAGAAAAGACATATCAAGGAGAAAATCTGTTTCTTATCCCAGAATTTGTCGAATAACAAAAAAAACCTTACCATTGAAATTACCTGATATATTAGTACTTAAATGTTTTTGTAACTATATGCAAATATTCTTAAAATTAGCTATGCATTTAATTCTCCGAATGAAATTTTCACGAATATTCAGGACTTTCAACGAAGAATCGATTCATAAACTTTTTCTGAGAAGAATGAAATTCTTCAAACTGGCTTTGAAGCATGATTTCCGAAAGGCATGAACCATAGAAGAATCTTGAGAAAACGCTAAGTTGACAAAATCTTATTTCAGAAATTATTCAGTCATGGTTCATTTCTACAAAATAGGACGCAGAAAAGTGTTTCGATTTATTTTCGAACTTCTTTTGCCTCAAAACTTCGTAAGGTAGGAATTTTCTCACATTATTAAAATAACTCAGTTCTAAAAAGCTCTTAACAATACATTTTGCAAAATATGTAATTTTTACATTCGCCGTTTAGCTCTGGTTGCATAACCAGCCAGCATCGTTAGTGATCAATATTCGGTCAGTGGCAGACCAAATAATGCGCCATATTTTTATTATAGCTTTTAGAAATGGAAAGAAGAGACGTAAACAACGAAAAAATGTCAATGTGAAATTGTCAGGATGTAATTGAGAAAACTAATAGCTTTGTATGAAAGATACGAGATGATTAAAGCCATTAATCTTGAGACTGCAATATAGGAATCAGTCAGAAATGAATAGCGAACGATGGCGGTTTGGGTTTTTCGCCTGCGAAAAGTGAATATGAGCCTCTTTAAATTATCTTAAAAAATTAGAAATTCGTGGAATTGAATCTTAATTTTCATTCTCATTCTTATTTAAAAAATACATTAAAAATGTCTCTTACAAAAGGCTCATGGAACCACCCTTCACTTAAACAAATAATCCTCCGTCGTTTCGCCATAATTGATTAAACGACAAACAATATTTTGTTACGTCTAAACACTTGAGGCATACTTACCTTAATGGAGTTGCCATCTTGAAAGACTTTCTAAACGCAACTTGTCTCTATTCATTTTATACTTAATTAATACCCATATAATAATAAATTAAAAACATGAAAGCTTTCATATTTTACATTATGCCCAAAGGAACTTTTTTTAACGTTTTGTGTGTTACCTTTATTTATTACATTTTCATGTTCTTTGCCTTAAGCCAAAAAAATTCAGTTCAACAGCATTATCGTAGAACAATTTTAAAATGAGCATATCTTTAGAATTTCCGATACACAGTCTTGAGCGCTGGAGATACTTTTTTTTCGTACAGTGTTGTCATTCCTCGCTTTGAACTCGTTGAGTTTCTTAATCAAAAATTCTTTAATGTCTGGCAAAATATGAAATAGGTAATAAAATAAATTCCAAACTTCAAATTAGGGCTTCCAGATGCCCATATTCGCTGGAGGATTGCGTTATTCAAAATTTGATGGCTCTAGGTAGCGTTGTTTATCACAATACGAGAAACATTTATGTATATTCTTCATTATTTAATTTCTTTAAATATAATACAGGACTGTAATAGTTGGTTGCAACAGTTTGAAAAGTGAATCAACGCAGAAAGTGAATGAATCGACCCAAAATGCCAAAATGTTAACAGCTTCTGGGCTAAAAATAATTAATAATTATTAATAATAAAAATAATAAAAATGTAATATAGTAATTTGGTTTGTTATTTATGAGAAAGCAATGCGGACTTTTTAAACATAAAGAAACCACGAAACCTCAACCAGTCTGCTCAGTCGGCGGTAACTTGAACCATGGACGAACTGTTAGATTGCAGAAGCTTTACACAATCAACCACTGACAGCCGAAAATGCAATATATATATACTATATATATTACCAGTCTGCTCAGTCGGCGGTAACTTGAACCATGGACGAACTGTTAGATTGCAGAAGCTTTACACAATCAACCACTGACAGCCGAAAATGCAATATATATATACTATATATATTACATTATATATATATATATGTTACGGTAAAACACCGAAATCTGGAGAATGCGACTTTCACCGGTGAATGTCAACATTCACATAGTCTCTTGGTGTATGTCCGAAATATTTTCCAAATACTCTTATTTCTGACTTACAGCGGTTAATTTCAACATTCACAATGTACTAATTGTGAATGTTGAACATATAACAATATTATATTTTCTTCTCCGTAATTCAGTCGCGAATAAACGCACTTGATACTTGAAATAAGATCTTAAGAACATGAGAACCCAAAACATACAATACATTCAAAATGAGAAAGGAAAATAATAGAAGTTAAAAACTTACTTAAATTATACAGTACGTTCTAAATGAGAAAATAAAATAACACTAATAAAAAACTTACTAAATTATGTGATTCAAATCTTATTTATTGCAACAGCTTAAACTATTATGGCACTTTATGACCTCTCTTTTTGACTTTCACCAGAGCATATCTGTGATTGTCGACATACACCGGTGAGGGTCCGAATATACAAGAATGTAGTGAAATATCGGTCTTTCACCGGATTATTTGGTGAATGTTGATATTCTCCGGTGAAAGTCGACATTCTCCAATTTCTGTCTTTCACGGTAACATATATATATAATGTAAATGTTTGCTCTTTCCATTAATATACGCATATTAATGGCAGAGCAAAAATGGTGATTTATTGAAATTTGATTTACTTAATTAATAATTACAGCAAAGCGCTAATTGCAAATTAATAAATTATGGAGAGAGATGAAGGACAGAACGAAAAAGGTTCTTTTTAACAAATTTTCCCCTTTGACTACAGTAAAACATTTGATAGCTATCTAAGGAAAAAGATATTTGTGAAGAATTTTCTAAAGGAAAATGGGTGGCATTTACATTATGCAATATAAAAAATTCCAAAAACTTCCCTGCAGGCAGGCGGCTCAGTCACTGGGTAATCAAATCCTGGACGAAAAGAAATGTTGCGCGACATTGCCAGTTTAGCCAATAATGGGCCATTTTCGAAATTTGTAATAAAATCAGAGCACTAGGAAACTGGAAAGTGATTTTATTGCTGCTGATAATATTGATATTTCGATTATGTCACGAATTTTGTGACAACTCTACTTCAACTAATTTCATCACCGAGATGTTATTTTTCTGACATATTAAAAATGACAAAAATGAAACATTTGCCAGTTTACTCGATTTATTTTTTGGAATAGAACGCAAGATGATGTACCTGGAAATTATAAAATTTATTCTTTTTTTAATATTTTTATTATATTTTTCTGCAACAATGTCCGAATCATTAATACAACTGAGCACTAGTAGTTTCTACCTAAGACGTAAAGACTATTCTCGAAGGGCACCGTGGGTGAATTAGATTTCCATGAGGAATTTCACACTGACAAAAAATTATCTTTGTTCTTCCAAACGTTTTCAGAATTATAGTACGTCACGTTTTCGCATTTCCTTGCTGTTTCTCTTGATAGGTAACAGTATGTCCATTTTTGCTATGTTCCAGCCTTTGATTTTCATATAATATGGTTGTTGCTCCTCTCACCTTAGCAAACAATTTTTGATGCTGAAGAATAAGATCTTATCTCCGACAGCCCTGGAAAATGTTACAAATCTACGCATAACTAAGGTTGTTTTTCTGACTAATTTTAAATACAACGCACTTATATGAACACTCTGCGTATAGCTATTAGGCAAGGTATCCAAAAATGGTGGTGCGGATTTATTTCCTTAAATAGTGACCTTGTCACCCTGATCTGTATATTCGTTAGTGCTACACCTTGGTCCAGTGTTCGAATCCCAGAGAAAGCTTGGATATTTGTAAGTATACCGAGTCTTGCCGCATGGGGCACATAAAATATCGGCTAGTTAAAAGTTCTTTCTAGAGGTTTGGTAGTAGAGGAAGAGGGGTGAGAAACCTTTGAATCTGTTCTCTTTCAAAAACGATACGTAACTCCTTCACAGGTGTAACTCGGTCGTCCCTTGTGGTGCACCCTGGCAATGTTCTTGGTGATGAGGAGGCTTAATGACCTATGGCTATTAGTAACTCCGAACGAATGTATTAAGTTGAAAGTGCCTGCAGTTTGAAACAACAATAATACATTGGTTTCATACAACTACTACCAGTTGCAAAAATAAATATTTCCCCCCAATCAAAAACAATTTTATAAAAACGGTTAAGCAACTTGGGATGGAGAACTCTGTAAATATAAAATCTGTCTATGATCTTCCTAGGTCCATACGACCAATTAATGTATTTTTAATAAGTTTTATTCGTTAAGTTTTAGTAATTAAACTTGAAATATTTCATACCCTTTATATGCAAAATATTTGAGAATGAATTTATTTACTTAATTATTTTTTCAGAGAGTATTAATAGACGATATTGATAAGATTTTAATCAGATATATATTCGGGAGGATCTAAAAACATAATATGCAATCATTATGGAGATTAATGGTTTCATATCGCGTAAAACAGTACTCGTTATTAATTCTGTAGCTGACCCTACAAAACAATTAATAAAAAAAATTACTTGTATCTCCACGAATTTTAAACACAAATGTGTAAAACGCTTTGTGCAACTAATTAAATTATAATGAATGTTTTACTAACCAGACAGTTCCTTCTACAGGAGCCCCGCCGAGCGGTAAAGTCGTTGAACACTAGTAGTTTGACTTGGGTTCGATTCCAGGCGAACGGGCTGGCTGCATGAGCGTTTTTGGGGTTTTCCCCATGTTTAACGTGGATACGAGCCACTTAGTAAGTCCTCCGTGAAGGCATCAGGCAGATAGCCCTCGAGTACTTTCCCATGATCAAAGAAGCCAAAAATCTTCTAATGGAGCTTTATCAAAACTGATATTTTGTATTTACTTAAATTTTCTGTCTCCACTGCTGAATCTGTTCGCATAAAATTGATTAGCTTACTTGAGAAACTATGCAGCAGGAAGCATTGTAGCCATCTTTTCAAATAACTCATATTAAAATACCAATAATGATAAAATTTTCATATCAAAACTTTAACTTTTTTATATCACGAACAAACACACCTTCCTTCCTTAATGAAGAATTTTGATGCTAAAATTTTTAATGCATCAGTGAAAGACAGATCACTTTCAAATGCAGACTTAATAAATATGTGTCTGAATACCTTAAGCGATGAATCCATCATTGATGATTGACGGTAAAGTTTGCATTCAGACCACACCGATGGAGGATGATAAAAAAATGTAATTAAGTGTAGAGGTGAAACGTTACAGTTTAAATAACTCAGCTCTTAAAACAGTACAATATGAAGAAATGAAAAGTATAGCTGAAATGCGCAGATGAGTGCTATTTTCAATGAGGTTAACATACAAAATGATGATGTAATTATATTGTCGTCATTGCAGGTTCTGTTAATCACTGATCCTCAGGTGAGGATTTTTCTCAATATCGCAAACATTTTTTTATATACTATGATTTTTAGCATTATTTCTTCCACGTCACTTAATTTTATAATATTTTTCTCCTTTTATTAACTTTTAATGTTTGTCTAGACAAGAATCAGAGTTTTTTCATCTAGGCAATACGTAAGGTGAACAGATTATTTCTTTCGAAATGCTCAAATGTAGACTTAATTATTACTTTGGTTGATTAACTGGTAATGGGTAACGTAAATAAACATAGAGAAGAATATAATTGGCTTAGGTATTTTACGTACTGAATTACCGAATTTTTGCAATCAGAATTAACATACATAAGAAAATAAACAAGGATTTATAAATTTTGCTCTAAAACTACACGAGTTTTAAGCATAATCAATAACTAATCGGGATAATAACAATTAGGATAGCAATAACTAATCGAGATAATAACAATTACGATAGCAATAACTAATCAGGATATGAAATTCTTAAAATATAATCATACATAAAAGATTGCATATGATTTGCTAAAGGGAAAAAATTGGTTCTAAATTGCAAATTTTTTCTTTATACTGAGAGAGTATATTTTTACCAGTATAACCTTCCTTGCATAAGCAAGAAAATCCGCCTTCTCGTCTGATGCAAGTGCCTCCTTCCAGACAAGGATTGGAGTAGCAAAGATTCACTTCAGTGTCACATTCATACTTGTGCTTCATTCCTATAAACGCAATAAATTGTTACTGAAATAAGCTAAAAATAAATTTAACTACAAAAACATTACCAGTCAAATAAAATTCCTAATATTCTTGTTGATCATTCGTCTCTTCCCACAGATCCCCACAATTTCAATTTTATGGCAAATAAAATTTTCGTATGAGTTATTGAAATTATTCTGAAAATCCGAGCATTTATTGAACTAATGTGCATTAAAGAAACTCTCAAACACATTTCGTTGACTAAAGCATTGCATCACTAAATATCACTTGAATGGTTGATAGTAGACACACGATATGTTTCCAAATTTTTATAATTTTGGTCACGCTTAATGAAAATATACCAAACAAAATTTCTATACATTTCACAAAAGGAGTGAAAGGTTAATGAGAAAAATGTCTTTTATAACTGAATTAACTGAACAAAAATTATGTGTTTTCATATGATCAAAATTACCCGTGAATACATTAAATATTTGGGTAGAGTAGACTTTAAGGTACCCCTTTTATTATGGCGAAGTTGTTGTTTGATTTATCGACAAGTTGTTGTTTCATTTATGGTAGCCTGAGTAGTTGAATGTTATGGAAACCCTATTGTGACGTAATCGGGTGCATGACATGGATCTTATAAGAGATAGACTAACCCAGTGGGCGGGGCGCGCGTCACCGACATGTCGGCAAGAAAGAGTAGGGACGATCTGGTTTACTTTAACACTGAAACCTATGGCGTTTGCATCACATAACTCTTTTTAATTATTAAATGTGATACGTTCTATAGTGATGAGATTTTGAAAGCCACAGTTTTTTCCAAATAGGATTTAATATATCTCATTTTAAAAGCACTTTTACGCATTTCGCGCATTTTTTTCACGCGTTATTCTTGTACAAACATCTTTACTTTGGTAAAACGGTAGGCCACAAAATTTATGAACTTAATTTTGCGTACAAATAACGAAAAATTAAATAGATTGGTAATATGAGATGCTTTGAAATAAATAAGGTAAAATAAACAAGATTTGATTATTTTTTTTTAATTTAATGAACATTTTCAGGCAGTGATTTTTCAAACTAAAAACATTACAAAACGATCAAATTTATTTGATTATATGATCATTAAATTATTAACATTAAAGTGGATTAGCTATTTTAATAATTCATAAAATTTCTGAGCGTAATGAAGTTGTGTGTGTGTGATTATGGCAAAGCCTCGAGGGCTATCTGCCTAAGGGGAGGGAGGGAGCTTCGGGAGGACTTCTAAGGGAAACTGACTCGTATACACGTTACACATGGGGAAACCACGAAAACGCCCATGCGCCAGCCCGTTCGCGGGGATTCGAACCTCGGACCGAACTACCAGTGTTCAGCGACTTTACCGCTCGGCGCTGGTGGGCGAGCGTAACGAAGGAAAAAAAAAAAAGATAAAATAAAATCTAGAAGCACTCCTTTTTTTAAAGTTTTGTGTGTTACCTATATTTATTGAATATCATGTTCTTCGCCCGTAAAACACATACATTGAAAACAGCATATCTTTAGAATTTCCGCACTGGAGATAAAACTGTTATTTTCCGTACAGTGCTCGCTCTGAACTCGTTGAGTTTGTTAATCAGAAATTCGTTAAGTTTTACAAAATATGAAATATATTAAAACAAATTCGAAATTCGGCCGTCCAGATGTCTATGTTTGGGTGGAGGATTACATTATTCAAAATTTGATGGCTCTAGATACTGTCGTTTTTGTCACAGTGCGAGAAACATACATGTATTTATGCAGATTCTTCATTATTTAATTTCTTTGCATATAATACAGGGTGATAATATTTGGTAACAACAATTTGCATGGAGACACGGACATTTATAGTAAAACAGCGCAAAATGCCGCTCACTAACAGCCTTTCTAGGCTACCTCCCCTTTAGGCTAATAAATTAAATTAACAGTAAATAGAAAAAAATCTTATGCAGAACTAAAAATAAATTTAAAAAATAATCACTATAAAATACAAGCAAAATCAATTATTACGGTTAAATACAATTTTAATATTAGAATTAAATGTATAAAAATTTTTAAGGAGTCAAAGGTGTTTATCACTATGATGTATTATGAAATATAATTGAAATAAAATTCCTTTATAGAAATTGTGCTATAATACTCATCTATAATTTTAAGAAAGCAGCACAATTTAGAATTTTAAACAAAACTTTCAAAAATTCGTTTTTAAATATTTTAGTGTTTTTTACTTATTTACACCAATAAAAAGCATAAAAATTGCAAGAGAAAATTTTCTATTAGTTCAGATTTATAATATTTTTCTAAAAGAAGTATTTAAAAATTTCCTTACAGCATAGGAAAAGCTAAAAAAATATCCAGTCGTGAAAGCATGCAATAGCTTTATAATTATTTGGAATGTTCATTATGCTTGATAAATATGCTAAATTTTAAAAAATCAATCTCAATTTCAAAAATAAAAATATATAGAAATTCATGTTGTGAAATGAGGCGCTACAACCAGCTTTTTCTTGACAATTATACACGCTGCAATAGGCAACCAATGTTAAATTTCTGCATCTCGTCCCTACTCCTCCCGATGTGATCAAGGTGACAGCCGGCAACGCCTCAGACGAGGGAGAAAACCCGTTTGGATTAGTCTATTTCTTATAAGGTCCATGGTGCATGATTCTGGGAAATTTTGAATCATGGGATGTTTTGTAAGCTTTTTTGTGGTGGTTTGGTTGGTTGATTCTTTAGACGGTAGAAATGGCCGCCGAATGTAGTAAGATTAATTTGAAGCAAAAGGGGAAAAGAGCTTTAATTGACTGGTGTGTAAATGAAGGTTTACTTAGTAGCCATTATAAGTGTCCTGTATGTAGGAAGGATATGCGTCTAGTCGAATGTAAAAAACCGCTTAGATGGATTGAATGGGTTTGTAGGAAGAAAGGTTCAGATGGTCACTATGTGAAGCGTTCGATCAAAAAGAGTACCTGGGTTGGAAAAAAGTCGTTTGAGTATGATTGATATTTTGATTTTTACGTGGCTCTGAGTGTACGAAGCGAAATCGAAAATCATGGTAAGTGAATATTTGCTTTTGGTAATGCCTAAATGTATAACATGTTTTCCTTTTTTTATGTTATTTCATTGTTTGGTTTAAAATGTATTTTATTGAGATTATGTATTTTTTGCTTGCCTATATTGTAGAATTTGGTGCTCCTTGACTTTTTAAGTGAAAATATTCGATGTGTACATGGACAAAGTAAAGGGAGTGCGCCATGCAAGTTTGTGCAATTCTGGGATTTTTTTAAGTGAAAATAGGTTGGCGTGTACTTGGATAAAGTTAAAAGAGTGCGCAATGCCATTTTTGTGCAATTTGGGGATTTTTTTCAAGTGAAAAAAGTCGATGTATACATGGATACCGAGTTTGTGCAATTGTTTATCTTGTTATTTTGGCTTTGTGTAGCGGCGATTTTTGGCGCAAAAAATCGCAAGCCAAAATAACGCGCGCGCTTCGCAAGCCAAAATAACGAGTCGAAGAATTCCACAAAATCGGTATCCATGTACCGCCAAAAATCGCCAAGGGGTACCCTAAACTATACTTTTACCAAATATTTTAAGAATTCTATGAAAATCTTCCTACAGAGAGTTATACATGTAAAGCTTTTGACTGCAAATTTCTAAATACATCTCTTGAGTCAAAAAACATTAAAGGGTTTCCAAATTTCCATTTGCATAATTGCTAAAATTACCCTTCTTTTTCAGACTGAAATTCAGTTTTTATACAAGTCTTGAAATCAACATTTTCGCTTTTCGTTTTACTAAGTGAAAGTGGACGGTCATTTAATTTTACAACACTAAATTTCCGTATAACAAAACAGAATTTTCTTCTAAAAGATCTTTGATAGGGTAATAAACAACTTATTATTTGGAACTTTTTGGTAGAGCCGCCGTATAAAAAATTTTAATTTCTTATATTTTCGCTGGAAGATATCACATGACCAAATTACTGAAGTCCGAAGACTTACCTCATTCCTTTCTTAAAATAGAACTATGAAACTTGATTCATGTTTTAAAATGTAACCATAAGCTTAGATCCATTCCTTAAAATTGAGCCATGAGCCTACAACCAGTCATTCAATTTGCAATTTAGTACTGCAATCATTTTTAAAATCACTGTACATACGTTTTTCTTAAAATCAAATACAGAAGAAAAGCTAAGTACACTACTTCGAAACTGCATTCGGCAATGAAAGTAAGTAAAGATGTTAATACCTGTGAAACCAATAGGGCAGATGCAAGCAAATGTGTTGATGGGAACGATGGACCTAAAAAAGTACATATCAGAAGAAATGAAATCAGAAGCATTACTAAACTTAAGAACTGACAGACACTGTTCAAAATTAATACAAGGCTCTTGAACACATAAATTATCTTCAAATGGCAGCACCTACAAAACAGAAAAAAGTATGTAACTAAATGAATTTTACGAAATATATCAATAAGTCTAAATATACGCATAAAACAGTAAGTCAAATTCTCGAAACTTAAAGTAAAAGAAAATTTATTAATTGTAGACTCAAGTCTTAAAGTGAAAGGTGAATAAATTAAATAAAATTTTAAATAATATTGCTAAAAGTTTTGATAGTCGGATCATTTTAAGAACTTCCAGATTGGGAAATTAAGAAAACAACAACGCAAGCACACGAAGCAAAACCGTTAAATATATATAAAATAGTTTTGCATGTAAATATATTAGAGTATAAAAATACAGAATACTATTATAGCTAAACAAAGTAATTTTTTATTTAATCGGTTTTACTTCTCGTGTCATTCCTTCCCATTTCATACAAATAATTTATTGAAAGGAAAAATCCATATTAAATTAATCATACCGAACGAAATGAAAGCGAAAAACAGCAAAAAAAAAA